AAAAAAACTTTTGCCAAAAATCACTTCGTTCATTATTTTAGGAAGGTGACGATTTGGAAAGCACCCAGTTGCTTACTGGGGGGAAAAAACTTTTCATTGAACTTTTGGGATCAACAGGATCAAAAGTCATGTTATTGTAACCAAAATAAGGAACTTGGAAATATTTATCATGAAGAGGTTGAAGGAAACTTTGCGTGAAAACGTTTCAAACCCCCCTAAAAGTAACACTTAAACTAAATAAAAATGTATCCAGATACTGTAGAAAACGCTAGATTTATAGTTAATTGTTTTTTATGAGCGCAGCCCGGAACTCACCCAGCAGCCCCTCGAACTGCTCGATGGCCAGCACCGCGTTGTCCTGCGTGCTGTGGTGGAGGTGGTTCGGCATCTTGGTCATGTTCCACGGCATGGACCGGCACAGCGGGATCCGGACCGGCTCGCAGGCAGCCGCCCGGACAGCGGGCGGCCACAGGGCGCAGGACACGGCCAGCAGAGACACGCAGAGTCCCGCGGAGAGCATGACCGTGGCGGGGGGGAGGTGATGGGGCGGTGAAAAGGCACGGCGGTCCAGTCGGTGCTCGGTGAAGTTAGATCCAAATCAGGACGGGATCTGACCTGCTGCTGCTGCTGCTCTCTGCTCCTGCAGCCCGAGCAAGGGTGGAGCTGCTTTCTTATGCAGACTCCCACCACCACCACCTCCTTCTCTTCTCCTCTTCCTCAGGCCCTCCTCCTCTACCATGCTCACCTCTCCTCCTCCTCCTCTTCCTCCTCCCTTATCCTCTGCACTAAAAAAACAGATTCCTTTTTGATGAAAAGTCAACACTGCTTAAGCCTCGGAAAGCTCCTGGGTGTTTGTGCCATTACATTTACAGGAGTAAGTGTGGGGCACCGACTAGCTGCCTAAAGTTGGAGTAATCCCACTGCAGGCTGCATTATACGTATATATTTGAGGTTTATTGGATGCAGTTGTTAGTCTTCTGTCTATTTTGGTGTCATGGGATACATATGTCTGTCCGTTTCTAGTTTTGCGGGGGCCCAAACTACAGTGAAGAGATTTCTAGCTCTTTACACGGCCCACTGAAATGCCACCATCTATTACATCTTACAAACAAGGCAGTATGCAGTTAAAGGGGCTGTTACATGTGTTTTCAGGCAACATAGTGCCAGTACATAGCACAATCAAGTAACTGTGTTAACTTCAGTTGTTATAAAATATGTTGTACATTTCAAATATGACTTAAAATAAATTTGACTTTGTAATTTGACGCCTTGAAATTGGGCCTCTGTCTCTTTAAAAAGCTCCTGCTCTTTCTGAAACTCCGCCTTAGTCATCACAGCATGGCTCCTCTATTAACCCTTTTACGTTGTTTTTACCAGTGTTATACTGAGAATTAGCTCATATGATGAGCTCAGCTAATGTTCAGTTCCAACAGGTGTTTGCAAATTGCTGCTGGCTAGTCTGAAGGAGCTGAGTGGGGGAGTTGCTGGGGCGGGCAGCTCTGTGAGGCAACAGAGCTGCCCGAATACTTGGAAACTGCAGCTCTGAGGAGGAGCTTTGTCCTCGAAGGCGGAGCTAGGTCCACCCAGGCATTTTGCACAGCTTAATGATTGCCAAGGGAGATTAAAGGATTCCTCAAACATGCATGAAAGAATCAAAGCAACACTCCAGGTATGTTTTGATAAGGGAATGACATTGTAACATGATGTAAAATAACAAAGTGTCAATCCTACATAATGATGTTGCTTTAATTTTACTGAGATGAGGCTGAACATGCAGCTTTGGGGCCCCTGGTGGCTAGGAGGCCCCAAGCAGTCACTTACCTTGCCTATGACAAATGGTCTCCAGGTTATAAACGATTTATAACTCGTTTATTTATAAATCGCTTTAGATAAAGTGCTTTATAGGTATACCAAAGGAAATAAAATGAAGGTAATAATAATAACACAAAACTGTAAGAAAACTACAAGGTTGACATAATTAATTAAGTCATAACACAAAAGCTGTCCTAATGATCGCGCTGTATGGAATTATACATAAGACGAGTTTTTAAAACAGTTTTAAAATCATTTAGCGATCCAGCAGACCTCACAGATTGTTCCAAACACTGGAACAGTCTCAATTTTTAACTTTCCTTATAAGTCTCCGACAATAATAACAATAAAACTAAAACAATTAATAAAGATTTAATTTCAAAATCAAACATATAAACGTGGAGAAAGTGAAACATTATGTTTTTGTTCAACAGAATCACATTCCGAGACTTGCTATAGTTAAGACATTCACTGTGTTTTACATGATTGGAACCAGAAAATGTTACACAGCCTGTCAAACAGTGTGGGAGAGTATCTATTTAAACAGATGTACAGCATTTTTTAATGCATCACCATTTTATTGGCTGAAACTAACCAGACCCGTTAGCTTGTCTTTAAAAAGCCCTTCTGTCCTCCGCTCATCATCTGGATTAATTGCACCTGTTTGAATTAACCGCAAATTGACATTATGAAAATGAATTTGCTTAATGGAAACACGGCCATTTTGAAAAAGAAACAAACCAAAACAAAACAAAAACATGACTTTTTTCGGTAAGAAGTTATTGCCCTATCAAAACCATTTGTTTTCCCACATCACAAGAGTCACGTGATCAACAGCCAGCCGTTACCACAGGTGAAAACGTAGAAGAAGACGATTTTTTTTTTCTTGCAGCTGGCTCCACCAGAGCTCTGAGAGCCTCTCAGCCTCACATAGTTCAGCAAAGGTTGGGTGTCATTCTAACGAGTTGAATCAATCGCTCCAATGTAAAATCGCCGACTGCAATTTCCTCAAAACGCTGCATACGTAGCCGCTCCCAAGTAGGCGGGGCTTGTCGCGCCAACGCCTGAATAAGACGCCGACTGTCTCTTCTGATTGGCTGACAGATGATGAGCGCTAGCACCATGACTGAATCATGAATATATTTCATGTAACTGTCACTCTTGTGTTTTTTAATGACTTATGGCGTGAACAAGCTCCTTCACATGCAATTTTAATTACATTTCCTATTTAAATTAAATAAGAAAGCACAATTTTCACAATAGAAAAATTGCAAAACTGTGATTTTTCGACAAGAGCACATCTATAATTTTTTCAATGGAAATGCAGTTAACCAATCAAACTCCATCCTCGTTCGTAAGACCATGTAAGACCACCAGGGACAAGATGGACCTACAGGACATCATACTAACAGTTTGGTGAGAATTCAACTCTGTGTATTACTAATATTATTATTTCTACCCATAACCTCACTCGTGAACTTGCTCTGCTTTCTTTATGTGTGGATTACTTGGGTTTCTGCCGACATCTGGTGTGAATTATATGCCATTGGCCCCATTAGAAATATTTAAACCGAGAAAGAGTTAACACATTCAGTACTTATTTCTTTTCACTGTATGTTTGTTTTTATGACATGGCACAGCAAACTGAAAGAGATCATATCCAGCTGTCTTACCCTTTAATAGCGTTGCTGTACAAACGCTGGACCTTGGGAAAATTCAACATGCACTGAGCTGCTATTTGAATTCAGAAGTCTGGGAATTGTTGCACTAGGCGGTTATTTACAGAAACAGAGCAACTTGCTGGTTGCCTCACAGCTAAATGAAAAGTGGTTCGGTGGAAGACCACTCTTTACCTGCATTCATTTGGAAACAAATGTCTTTCTTCTAGAGTGATACAGTCAACAGATAAAATTATGAATTTATAATATATTTTACATTTCACAAAACATTTGGGTAGAATGTAGATTAGACAGATTTGTTGGGGCCTCAAAGAGACTATTTGCCATTTATTATACTAGTAAATCAAAAATCAAATCAAAATTTATTTGTTTATCACACATTGCAGCAACAAGGCAGTTCAAAGTGCTTTACATCAAAAAAATATGAGGACAACATAAAAGCATAAACACGTTGTATGGTCACCAATTGTGATTGTCAAATGACAATCACATATGTCGATCAATATTCCAGTTATTATGGTTCAAAAGTTTCAAAAGTGACTTTAAAAGTGACTTTAAACAGCTGGGTTTTTATTCTTAATTTGAAGGAGCTCAGTGTTTCGGCTGTTCTGCAGTTTTCTGGAAGTTAATTCCAGATTATGGTATTATTAATTCCATGTTTGTTTCTGGTTCTGGAGATGCAGAGCAGAACCAGAACCAGAAGACCTGAGCAGTCTGGAAGCAGATCTCTAATGTACCGTGATGCTAAGCCGTTGAGTGATTTTTAAGTATTTTAGTACATCTCATAAAATTAGAATATTGCGCAAATGTGCCAAAATGTCTTAACAGTGATCTCAGAAAGTGAGACTCATATATTGTTTAAAATTATCATACATTGATTCATTCCGAGCTTTTTTTTCTTGTAATTTCTTGCTGATTATTTCTTCCAGAAAATGAAATCCCAAAAGTCAGTCTCTCAGAAAATTTGAATTCTGTGGCAAAGGTGATTAATGGAAACTCATGTTGTCACAGCCTAATCAGCTAATTAACTCAAAACACCTGCAAAGCTTTCCTGAGCCTTTAAACGGTCTCTCAGTCCAGGTCAGTCAGCGACACGATCTGATGACTGGACATGTCCAGAGGACAGTGATGGACACCTGTCACGAAGAGGGGAACACACACACACACACACACACACACACACACACACACACACACACGGTCCATTCACAGAGTTCAGTATCCAAGCATGTAAACAGAAAGTGCAGCGGAGAAACAAAGGTAGTCTCAAAGGAAGGTGCTAGAAACAGGAGCAGAGCAGAGATTGGGATACGTGAGGTGAAGGTAACGGAAGGATCTGGCAAAAAACGGTAAAATGTCACTCTGACTGACTGCTGCTGAGCTATCAGCTGCTTTTCGTTCATCCTCACAGTCTTCATACTTCTGAACCCACTGGGGGGAACCCCCGCCCCCCAGTAGTGATTCGGTCAACGTGCCCCCAGCCCTGGTCGCAGAACAGCCGTTCTCTCTGATTCAGGTTTTCAGATCAAATCCGTTTTTCCTCGAGTGACCGCGGGCGTCGTGGGAAACCTCCACATCCGCAACTTTACTGGTCACCGATGCTGGGAGGACTGGGATGAACCCGTAACTGATTGAGTGGCTGGAGACGACCTTTGACCCAGGCAGGGCTTGTTGTATTAACAGCCCTGTTATTGGTCCATTAAACCTGAGTATGACGCAGCAAACTGAAGCACTTTGTGTGTGTGTGTGTGCGTGTGTGTGTGTGTGTGTGTGTGTTGATGGTTAGTAATGATTGTCAGATGTTGGAGGAGCTTCCCATGTAAGGGTTGAGTTACAGCCAACACACACACACACACACACACACACACACACACACACACACACACACACACACACACACACATATACACACCCTTGGCCTCTCTGGGTTTTCTGACTCATGGATCAACATGCAGAGAACTGAATCAGCACTTTGTCTTCCATCATTCGCTTACCTCTCTCTTTCTTTCTGTCTTTCTCTCTCTTCCCCCGTTCTCGACCCATTTTTCTTTCTTTTGCATGTTCTCATGATTTAATCTCTGTAAGTGTTATTTTTTCTGACGTAAAAGCTTCTTTTAGTTGGCAGGAAAAAATTCTTATCAGAGGAATGAACACACACATTCCCAAAGGTAAACACGCACATAGACTGG